TTTTCCAAAGCGTTCTAAGTTAACCTCAACCCTTTTCATATTTTTGGCAGAGTACATAAAACTCAATTCAGACATTAAATCTCTCTCACAGAGAAGGTTGCTTGATAAACCTTCTTTTCACAAAGCTTCCTAACCTAAAGCTATTTACACAATTGTTTATCAAATAAAAACCTGTCTAAAAAAGATTACATAACTTCATAAATAGACAGAAAGAAAATTGCAAATATAAGCCAGGAAAAACAGTTTTTCAATTAGAAATCTTTAGAACACAGAACCGTTTTTCAAAAGTAGTTATCTAAAATTCTTTTCTCGTTTTAAAGATTAAAAACGTGAAGTGTAAAAGATGAAAAGAAAAATGGGGGTAGAGAGTTAAGTTGAGAGATAAAACGATATATCATACGGTGAATCACTCTTAAAACAAAACTCTTTCTCTCCACTTGTTCAAAGAGTGAATTTTATAGAGAGATTTGTGACTCTCGTTTTTAGAAAGTGGATATTTATTTTTGAAATCAGAATATTTGCTTTCCTTATTTAGAAGATACGAAAATCCTAGTTACCAAAAAATTTGTTTTATCCTTTTGGTAAGAAAATAGGAGCCGATCTTCCTTTCCTTAAACATAAAGCTTTTCGAAAGCAATTTATTTGGAAAATATTTTTCGAAAAGATTTTACTTACTTAAAACGGAAAAGAATAAGATCTTTCTTTGTTTTAGGTAAGAGAATAAATTAAAATTCTTTAGATCTTCAAAAAGGATTTCTGAAAAAGAAAGAATACGATTTATTACCAAAATCGTTAGAGACATAATCTCTTTAATTTTAGATAATTGAATCATTTTGATTTCTTTTAAAGGAATTTCAAAAACAAAAATTTATTTTTGAAGAATCTAATTTCTGAAAAATATTTTTGATGAGAGAAAGACTAGTTTATGTGCTTATAGATGAATTTTCTCTCTATCCTACAATATCCTACAATGTATCCTAAATACCTAACCCACTAGGGTTTTCGGATATTTCACACACTAATGGTCTTTGGATATCTTCACACACTATGGATTTTTTAGGACTTGCCGTTGTTCGTTTTCTTTCTCATAAGGAAATTTCTACATAAAAATAATATTAGCACAAATAAATATAATTTAAATTTATTTATTTTGTTTTAATCATCAAAAATTGAGCCAACAGGCTTATATGCATCTAAGGCGACAGCTGAACACATGACATGGCATGCTTGCATGAATATGAGGGATGGTATAACTGACTCATCCGTTAGCTCTGAAGCATGAAAATATTTTTTGATAAAATTTCATCCTGTGTTTTGCTACTGATATGAGAAAATGAGATTGGGGCTTTGATACTGATGTGGGTTCAGCGTCTGGGCAATCAAGGACAATAATATTTCGATCAATTGGCCTGTATTGTCACACCATATTTAATCTACCACGTCAATGGTTAGAAAGATGAATTGATATGGTTTTCTGTGGATTATTTACCTAAGCCCTACTAATCGAAACACAAAAGTTTGATGTGTTTCTTGCGAGCCTGTTTGATTGCCGGAACTTTAATTATTTATGGGAAAATGGAGTTTGAAACATTCGATATTTTCGACCAATTCCAAAATTTCAGTAATGCAGAAGTACTAATAGACTTATAGACCTATTCAGTGATTTTTTCAGCATTTGGAATGTTATCTGGGTGGAGTACGGGAGGCAAATTGCTTGTCCTCATTGCATGGAAAACTCGAATGCATTACACTAAAAAAATGGAGGAACAAATGTTGGTTTGATTGTCCATCGCAGAATTCTTACCAGGAATCTCACCCTAGAGGAGAAATCGACAATGCTTTAGAAAAGAACACGGGACTATTGCTCAACCCCCTCCGCCTGTGAAGTTGGAGCTGAAATATTACAAGAAATTGAAATTCTAGGCCTTATTGAAAGTTACAGATTAGGCGTGCCAGATGAGGCAAAGGAAGAATTTGCAGGCGAATAGCGGGTGGAAAAAACGAAGCATCTTCTGGGATTTACCATACTGGAGTTCACTTCTTATCCGTTTCATTAACCTTATTATGCAACATAGAACAAAAATGGTTTGAAAAATTTGTTCAACACTTCTAATGAAACATTGAAGGGAAAACCAAAGGATAATGCAAAAGCAGAGAGCAGCATGAAGGAAATTTGTCGTCGACCACAAACTCGAGCAAGTCTGTACTACCTGGTAAGTTTCCACAAGGCCATGTATATGTTTAGATAAAGGAAATTTGTCATCGACCAGAACTCGAGCAATCTGTACTTACTAGTAAGTTTCCTAAGGCATGTTATTCTTTAGATAAACCCCAAAGGCAATTATTGTGCGAATGGGTCTGAGCGTTAAGATTTCTAGATGGATACTGTTCATGCAAAGATTGATCCTTATGGCATTCCGGGAATTATTGCCAAGGAAAATTTGGGAAGCAATGACAGAATGAGTCTCTTTTTCAAGGAATTGACAATGACTATTATCCGATGCAATGATATGAACCAATTAGCGTGAGAAATCCCAGTAGTGATATGCAAAATGGAGTGAATTTTTCCACCCAGCTTCTTTGATTCTATGGAGCATATGCCAGTTCATTTGCCCTATGAATGTCGTATAGCAGGACCGGTACAATATAGATGGATGTATCCATTTGAGAGGTAAATCACTAACATCCCATTCTAATCATTACAAATCATTACATCATTTATTTCAACTCATAACTTACATATTGGCATGTGTACAATGATAAAGGACACCTCGTACCGAAAATTAAAAAGAATGTGCGCAATAAGGAAAAGGTTGAGGGAATCAATCTTTGCAATGGTCCATATTTGGTGAGAAGAAGCTTCCACCTTCTGTTCACACTACTTCGAACCACATGTTATTCACAAGACATCGGAGAGTGCCAACGTAACGATGAACGCGGGAGGAGATCGAATAGAATCTGAGTTGGAAGGAAATCTAACAAGTTTTCACTATTCTTTGTGCGTTACGATTGGTAAGATAAAAAAAAAGTACGATTGGTAAATAAAAAAAAAGACGATTGACTGATGCAGAGATATGAGCGGCTCAAACCTATATTTTGTTGAATTGCGAAGAGATTACGCCATTTTTACAGTAAGTATACACATTGTAGACAATCTAAACCCGGTGTGGGGTGTAGTAAATCATACTTATACTAATTTTGTTAATTCATAAACAGGAAATATATCTATCTTTTGCTGCTTCAAAATCCAAATTTGACTGAGACTGTAGTTGATGCAAAACTGGACTCCGAATTTGCAGAATGGTTCAAATATTATGTAAGTTACGATGCAAAACTGGACTCCGAATTTGCAGAATGGTTCAAATATTATGTAAGTTACTTTCAATGCATACAACATGGAATGTACATTATTAGATCTCACTTGTGTCATTATTATTTCCCATAGGCTCGAAGCTCGAAAAGCGATATTGGTAACAGATTCATTACGGATCTAGCAAAGGGACCTCTATCGGTTGCTAATGCCTACTCCGGCTACTTTGTAAATGGTTACAAGTTTCAGACTGAGGGTTATGGGAGAAGCAGAAAGACAATGAACAACGGTGTTTGCATAAAGGGATCAAACTACAGTGACGTGTCAAACAATTTTTATGGGAAATTGGTAATTTTTTATGGGAAAATTCGGTGAGTAGAGTTAGAATATCCAGGCCTACCACTGGATAGGCACAATTCGTTATTCAAATGTGAAATGGTTTGATCCTTATTAGCCAAACTGTTGGCATGAAGGTTCATACCTAAGTATTAATCTGGTAGATATTTAATTCAAAGAAGAATATAATACAAAAGGTATGAACCTTTTGTGTTAGCAATGCAAGTTGGATAAGCTTGTACTATATCCCTATCCATCGTTTAAATGAGATCGTTTGCAATTGGATGGCATGTGTAAAATTAAGGCTAGAACAGATTTGGTCACGCACTTGAATAACGAAAACAATCTTTGACTTCACTCGCAGTTATCGGAGCCATTTCAATTGAAGTAGGGTTGATACAGCACCGATCAAGTTGTTGAAGATTTACAGAATAGATTGAGATTGATGGAAAGCCGATCTTATGTTGAAATAGGAAGCATCATATGATAAGAGAAAGAAGATGGCGCAAATCATCATGGGTACCTTCAAAGACGAAATATTGAAGAAGAGGAAAAGTATGGAAGAGGAGGAGGAAGTAGGTATGATAATGAAGACTGAAGACACTTAATACTTAGAACAGTTTTATTGTTACAAATTGATAGATGTATATCTAATATTATTAATGAAGAATTTCAATGTTATTAACTTTCTTTACTCATGTTTATCACATGTTCTACAATTCATATAATTGTATACATACATATCTAGGATCTGATATCTGCAGTACGGATGGCTAGAGGCAGAGTGTTTGATTCAGACGCGTCCAGCAGTGGTTCGCGTGGAGGTCGTGGCCTAGGACGCAGTACCCGTGGACGAGGAGGGACATCCCTCCTTCGTCTTCAGTTACGTCTGGGGCTTCATCCTCTACTCAGCGACTAGTACTGCCGCTATCACTTCCTTTTGCTCCTTCCTCTTTTACCCCAGTTTCTAGACTAGTACAGTCTTCACCAACTGCACAGTCACCTACTGTGCAAGGTAATCATAAATGTCATTACTATCATTTCAATTATATATTAATTATTTATCTGCATTTATAGCAATTTATTTATCTGTCATTATATAGCATTTAGTCACTTCTTTTTGTAGCTTCATCAGATCCAGTACCCAGCCTCAGTTTGTACGGGACAGTACAGTACTTATTCACTTTTTCCCTCTGTACATTGGTTTTTGTTTAAAGATTTGTGATGCTTTTCGTCGAATTATATTTTCACTTTGTTGTTTTTTTTTTGCTCAGCAGTATATCCATCCTCTTAGGAGCATCGAGGCAAATTATGCGAATAATCAAGCTACAACCTTCATAAAGTAAGGATACACATGGGATGCCGTACCACAAGAGAGGCGAGAGATTTTATTGGGAAGGAGTTTCAGGTACGCTTTTGGTTTAAGTTATATCATCATTCAATGTTTTACAAATTCATTCCAAGATACCTGTTTTATTGAAATTTTATTTTTCATTTTTTGGTAGAAGCGATTATCGTATGGTACGAGGGCAATTACGGGCCAGTGCTGAAAGTGGCCTAGGAGAAGGTTATGCGCCTGATCAGCCGATATGCTGACTTCACCCTATTAGGATGAGAAAGAAGCGGTAAGATAGCTATCGCAGTTGCGTTGTCTCAAAGAGTTATATGGGAGAGCTGGCAGAAGGCTTGGAGGATCCGTGCCAATCCTAAGAGAAAGCGGGAGATTATTTGCACAAAAAATAGGCTTACAGTGAGACTTAGGCAGTGATGGAGCAAGGACCTTCTCGACACACAGGCCGGAACACTATATGCTTATAGAGGGACAGCTCGTATTGATTAGGTGAGTCAACTAGTCACAGAATATGAACTCATGGTTTAAATATGAAAGGAACCATCTTATACTTAATTTATAATCAATGCAGTTTAAAAAGGATTCGATTACAGGCTGAAAAAATTAGGTCGTTCGAGCCGCCAACCACCGATTGAGGTGTTTTACATACATTCACACGAGAAGGACCACGATCTTAATACGTTCTGTGACAGACAATGCGGATGGAGTTTCAATGTAAAGAAACAAATGAAGAATATTACATATACCCTCTAGTCGTGCGGAAATGTGACAAAGTTCAATTATAATAAAAGCTATGCAACTACATTTGATTAATTAATTTTATTTTCAGCGAGAAACTAATACTACAGTCTCTGGAGAGCATTCTTGTTTCTTCTCAGGCTGATGAATCTGAAGCTGAAGGTCAAGGGAATTGATGATGTTTAGCACTTTATCTCGAGGCTGTGGGGGGAGAAGAAGAGGAAGGTATTATGGGCGGTCGGAGTCTCAGGCATCACTTAGTTTATCGGCAGCTCAGCATCTACACGCTTCTGCATGAAGCCAACGCAAGACACACAGCCCAAGGCATCTAGTGCGAGGAGTTTACTGTGCATTACGGCCTGTCGGTGTTGATTGATCAAGAAGAGACAGATTGCCCAAGATACTATAGAGCCTTCTCAGGCTGATGAATCTGAAGCTGAGTCAAGAATTGATGAGGTAGCACTTTATCTCGAGGCTGTAGGGGGTGAGAAGAAGAGGAAGGTATATGGCGTCGGGTCTCAGGCATCACAGTTTTACTGCAGCTCAGCATCTCACGCTTCTGCAGCCAACGCAAGACCACAGCCCAAGCACAGTGCCGAGGAGTTTACTGCATTACGGGCTCGTGTTGATGATCAAGAGAGACAGATTGCAGAACTTAGAGCGCATGTCATGCGGCTGTCTGGTTAGCTCGGTGCTGGTACTTCTTCCTCTGATCCTGTGCCTGCTACAAATCAAAATGTTTCGACATCTCAGCAGCAGCCACTACCGTCTCCTGAGCCCGATGCTGCGGACGATACCTTGGTCACTTCTCCTGGCGATTCGACATTGGATCGTGCAGATGACCAACTGCATAGATTTGATTTTGGACCTTTTTAGTTTTCCAGCTGTTTTTTGAAATTTTGTTCAGTACATTAACTACATTAACAATTACATTTTTATATTATTTTTGAATTGCATTTGTGATATATATATATGCCAATTTTCACATGTGCAAAAAAATTATGGTTTTATAATAATATTTATTTTTTCTTTTTTTTTTTTGTATTTTGTGATGGATTTGCGACCGAACTGCTACCAAAAATAATAACTTTAAATTTAAAATTTGCGACCGCATTTCATAATCTACCAAAAATAATAACTTTAAATTTAAAATTTGCGACCGCATTTCATAATTGCGACAGACTGTTTCTGCGACCAATTTGCGACAGCGTTTCGAAAGGAAATTACGACCAAAATTTGTGACCGATTTTTTATTTTTGCGACGAGCACTTTTGCAACCGATTGTTGTCGGTCGCAAATCGGTCGCTAAACAAACTTAGCAACCGATTTCTTGCGTTTTGCGATCGATTCGTCGGTCGCAAAATGCCATTTTTTTGTAGTGATATATATAATATTTGAAATTCCTATACATGTAAAAAAATTATGATTTATTGTATTATAATTGGAATATTGAAATTTCCATGTGAGGATGCGATTATTTTTCCAACCTTTAAATAAAAAGGAAAGATGGAAGCGGAACAGGCTTGATTGATTTTATTTCTAAAAAAAAAAAAAGTTCTTACATTAGTAAGAGTTGTGGGTCTCGTATATGTATGGCACAATCCAAGAGGGGGGTGAATTGGGTTTTCTAAAAATATAAATTTTAGCTTTTAAAAAAACAAAGTATAGAATTCGAAGTGCAGCGGAAAAATAAAGAACTTGTGAGAATAAATTATGGATTAGAACTTCCTCACAATGTTCTACACAGGAAAAATAGAAAGACTATGCAAAGTGCAGTTACTAATTAGAACTGTTTCACAATGTCTTATTCAATATCAGAACTGCTTTATGACGGAAAGCTGGAACTGCTTTATTGACGAAAAAGCTATGTAATTAGAAGTTTCCTCAATAAAGTTTAGAAAAATCATATGAGACGGGTGAGAGACAGTATGAAAGGTAGGGACTGCTTTACAAAGCTTTAATCTAGTTTAAGAAAATCTGATTAGAAATGCCAATAGGTGAAATATACTGTAAATAGGAATGATGAACGGTTTAGAACTTGATTATTTCACTTATTCAGAATTCCAGAATTCTAATATTCAAGAAAAGATAAGTTTATTCGTTTTAGACATCCAAAAATCATTAACAATTTTAGCATTTCTAGGAATTATAAATTTAGATAGGTTGTTGGAGGTTTAAAGTACAGTTATCAAGCAAAATTTCAGAAATTTAAAAAGATCCAAACAACGAGCTGATTTATAGTGGTTTCGGCACTAACTCGCCTACATCCACTCCCCAAGATCTCATCTTGAGATCCTAACTCTGTTATCTCTTTCAAGGGTAAGAACAAACCAACAGTACAAGGCAATAGATCAACACCTAGATCTACCCTTTATCCCACTAGATTTTCCCAAACGTTCTAGTTAACCTCAACCCTTTCTTTTTTTTGGCAGAGACAGGAAACTCTATTCAAGAACTATTAGAATCTCTCTCACGGAGAAGGTTGCCTTGATAAACCTCTTTCACAATAACTTCTCACCTAAGCTAATTTACACAATTGTTTATTCAAATTTAAAAACATGATCTACTAAAGATTTTACAGAATCTAAAATAGACAACAGAAATTCAAATATAAGGCACTTTGAAAAATAGTTTATTCAGAATTAAGAAAATCGAAATTAGAAAACAGAATTGTTTTTCAAAAGTAATGTATTAAAAATTCTTTTTCTACTTTTAAAAGAAAAAACGTTAAATATGAACAGATGAAAAAGAAATAAAGGGGGGTATGAGAGTAAGTTTTGAGGAGATAAAAGAGTATGATCAATAGGTGAATACTTCTTAAAACGAAAAAACTCTTTCTTCCACTATTTTCAAGAATTTGAAAACGCCTTTTTGTATAAAAAAGGTTCTGTGAACTCTCGTTTTTAGAAAATGGATATTTCTTTTTCAAAATCAGAATATTGCTTTCCCCTATTTAGAAGATATGGAAATCTTAGTTTTACCAAAAAATCGTTTTATGCCTTTTGGTAAGAAAATTAAGGAGACGATCTTTCTTTCCTTAAAACATAAAAAGAATGTTTCGAAAAAAACAATTATTTTTGAAAAGATATTTTTTCGCAAAGATGTCTACTTACTAAAACCGAAAAATAAGATCTTCCTTCGTTTTAGGTAAGAAAAATAAATTAAAATTTTCTTAGATCTTCTAAAGAGGATTCATGTTTCCGAAGAAGAAGTGCATTAAGATATTTTTATTACCAAAAAAAATCGTTAGAGACATAATCTCCTTTAATTTAGTAATATTGAACATTTTCGATTTCTTTTAAAGGAATTTCGAAAACAAACTTTTTGACGAAAAGATTTATTTTAAAAAATCTATTTTTCGAAAAAAATAGATTTTGATGAGAAAAATTTTTTTTTTCGTGCTTTATAATTGAATTTTTTCCTCTTCTATCCTACAATGGAATCCTAAAAGATACTAACATCAGGGTCTTCGGATTGTCTTCATACACTTGGATTTGTAGCGACTTGCCTGTGTTCGTATATTACTTCCATATGTATTCTGCATAAAATATTATTAGCACAAATAATATTAATTTAAATTTAGTTTGTTTTTGTTTTAATTCATCAAATATTTCTTGAGATTTAGGAATTTGGACCCTTGAGCCAACCAAATCTCCCCCTTTTTGGATGATGACCAAAACAATAAATTTAGCAAACATAAAACAGTATGCTTCCCCACCATAAATTATATAGCAATTAAAAAGAATATAAGTTCTAAAGCATTGCCAATTAGATCTTAAATATGCAAAGCGAATTTAGAACATGTATTATGCTCCCCCTGAATAGATGCAATAAACTTATTATGATGAAGATTAGAGCAGGGAGACATTAGAAAATGGATTTTAGAACTAGCCAAAGAATTAGACAAGATATTTAAGTACTAATGATCAGAGCATTAAGGTCAAACGCAAAGAATAAATAGAGAACTGGATTATTAGGAATAGAACAAAGATCGTAAGTCCAACCTGCTAGAGCAGATGTATAGAAATAAGAATCTAGTTCTTAAACACTCAGTCAATCCAATTTAAAATAATAAGACTCGCCAAAATAGAATAATTAATAGATAAACAAACACAATAAAATAGATAACACTAAGATTAAGTAACTTGGTTACACAATAGCCGAAGTTAGTAGACAAATATCCCAAAAATAATCCTAGCAGTACTCCCCCTTTATGTACCATACAAAAGGAGTTAGAAGAGATCAGAGCAATAATAAAGACAAAATATAAAGCAGAGAAGAAAAAATTATTTTATTCAAAAAAAAAAAACCCAAAATATTATCCTACACAGGCAAATATGTTACACAACACACAATTAAGAGAGACTTAGGGTCAGTTCTGTCTTACTATGACTTACTTGAAATTCTAGAGCTGGGCGATTATACAGACATTTTGTCCGTTGAGGTGCCATGAGCTTTCTACCATGGTCATTATGTTTACCCGCAGTGTGCTTGACTTTCTTTGTTTCTCTGAGGATAGGAGTAGTAGGGCGTGTCCCTTTAACTTATCAGAGTAAGCTTAACTCCTTTCATCCAGACATCTTTCATATACCTTTCCAAGACTCAGATGAGAGACTGATTTTGTCAATCACAGTCTTGTAAATGCTTTATTTCCTCATCGAGCCATTAATCGAGCTCCTTATTATGCTCTTCTATAAGCTCTCTTTCCATTCTTCCTAGCATAGCTTCCCTAATCCTTTGAGCTGATAAGAACTCAGATTCTTTTTCGTTTTTACCTCAGTTGACTTTTCTTCACCACTTAATTCCAGTTTTTCTGTCTCAGCATCACTGATTTCTTCTACTTTCTTTCCTTTTTCAACCTTTTCAGACCCCTTTTTCTGATTATGCTTCCTTCTCAGCTATTTTCTCTTTTTCTGTCTCTTCCTTCTTTTCCTCTTCTAATTTCTTTTCTTCTTCTTTCATTTCCTTTGTCTTTTCTTCCTTCTTTGTTTCTCCCAATTTAGCTTTTCCTTTCTCTCTCTTCGTTTCTTCTTCGGTTTTTCTCAGCCTCTTCTTTTTCCTTCTTTCCTTTCTCAACTTCCTTCTTTTCTCTTTTTCTTTCTCAGCTCTTCCTTTTTCTTTCTCTTCTTTCCTCTTTTTCTTCTGTCACCTTCTTCACTTTCATTTTTTTAACGACCAACTGTCTAGCTTTGAAACATATAGCCATCACTTTTCCTTTAAATCAACATCCAGAAATTCAAACACGTAAGTACCACTCCATAGCGGCAGTTTACTTTAGGGGTTATTCAGAATTTTGTCAAGATGGTATGACATAGGTTTGAAGGTTTCTTCTCAGCTCATAGTGCCCACATAATGCACCAAAACTCAACCTGATCACCACTATTTGTAGTTGGAAGCACTTTTGGGATAAAATATAATGCACAATAAGTTTATTAATAGTTCATTCAAGCTATCTGATCAAATTTGACATCAATAGTGCCCCTGCTTGTCTGCAGAAACCCCTTTATACATTTTTCTTCAAACAAACCTCTGGCCTTTTGTAACTCACTAAACCTAAAAGAAGAAAATATCCCCTTTTTTAAATTCTTTACCCGTCCCCTTAGACCCAGTGTTGGCAAATAAAATCTCTCTTCTT